TTACGGTGTTCTACCGGAAAAGACAATTCGAGTCTGTTACAGCTAGTAAATGAACTCCAAGTAATTATTGATATTGGTGAAGACCTCAAGTGGCCTGTACTAGTCAACAGAAATCGATAGACAGGTGTGTGTCTATCTGGAATAGGATACTTTTCCTTTCACTTTCCTTAGGTTGTTATAGTATATGTCTTCCAACTGCTCCAAGTTATTTCCGTGACTTTGATTAAATAACTTGGATAGAGTTTGATAAGGAATGGGTGTATTCAATCTGTTGTAAATCACACTTTCTTAGGCTTGGTCTGGTTTTGAAATATGGAACCTGGGTTCCCTAATAAACCTGTTGAGCCCTTCTCACTTAATAATCCAACTTAAACAGGATTCTATAAGGGAATTATTGCTATCATAAAGAGAAAAGTGATTAGAGAAGGAATTAGAAAATTTCAACTATGAGAGGTAAGTATATGCTGTACTGGCAAATTGTTCCTAGTATTATAGATGAAGAAATTATGTATATGAAGGAACAAGCCTTATACATTTTTGCTGGATTTGAACAACTACCTCTTGCTAATTCTCTCAGAATTGAAGACTTAGGAAGAGATTTAGAATAATTAACCTACTATGTTGTACTCTAGAATAGAGCTTTTATTTACTACCTAAATAGTACTAGCTATCTACTAGTTAGTAATATTAGAACTAGGATTAAGATATTGGAAATCACAATCTACTGGTAGCAAATGGCTATAAATAATTGTAACTTTAAAGTACAATGTATTCATTCACCATCAAATTTAAAACTTTCACAATTTTTCTCTAAACCGCAAAAATCCTATTTTCCCTATCCTTAATGTTATATTAGCTTTAAATTGTAATAATTGGCAAGCTACAATTCCAGGTGGTTGTAGATTCTATTTTACGTAAAGTAAACCCTATTTATATTGCTAATTATTTAGTACCAACAAATATGAACTTAGACCCGGACCCTTTGAGAAGGTTACTTGATTTATCTTCTACCTTCTCTTCAAGCAACCCAGACCTTTAGTCTGAAGTAGGAGTAGTAGACTTAAAGTAATTAAAATAGTACCTTTTATCGACTCCTCTATTCTTTCTGCCTCACATTCACCTATTTGTTATGATAGAACGAGCTCCTTGAATATAAATTTCTCCTCTAATATGATACCAGAGGGCCCAGGATGCAAGTTCTTTTTTTTTTTTTTGCTCAGCCCGAAAACTACGCAGTCCCTATCTCGGCAACCTCGTTCCTGGCTCTATAGTAGCTGGTTGGTGCCATATGCGTTGTCTACGTACAATGACATGCCGGATTCGTTATGCTGGTCGAGGACTTTATATTTAAGTTGTTGTGATACCAAACTTGCAGAAAAAGACACCTTATGCGGTGGACGCAAGGAATTGTACTGGTACCGCTTGGGCGATCATATTGTGGGCGGATCGATAGGGTGATTGATAAAACATGTATGCTATTAGCGCTGCACGTTACGTAGAGCCTCCGCATTTTCTCTCAGCACCGGCAGGTAGCTTGACACGGGCTATGAGTGCAGGAGCTGGGAGCAAGGTCCTGGAGCACATGCCACTCCGTAATCCCATCAAACAGGTATATACCTAAAAAGGTGCAGGAAAAAGCCCCGTCGGACAATATAAGCAAGTACAGTGCGTGTTCATCCCCGTGAAGACGGCCACCAGCAGTAACCTAACCTAATATCGCGGTTCATATATAAAAAGCCAGGAAACGAACTGGAGTCCGGGGGAGAAAAAAACCTCCGCATCTCGGACACTTTCTAGCACCTCTGAGACGATATTCTGTTGGCTTTATAGGTGGGGCGAGGCCTCAATCGCCGATGAAATACCCAAAGTGTGCTCCAATGTGATAAAAAAACATCACTCGGGTTACCCTAGGTAGTCGAGATCCGTTCTTGCTTTTTTTTCTTCCCCTCAGGACCCGCCCCGTTCTCCCTCCCCACGTTTCCGCGAGTTCCGATACTCCCAAAATCACCGATATATACCGGAGGTGCAGGTGGGAAAATAAGCTGAGGAGGAATTCTGAAGGGAGATTGTGAGGGATGACTCTGTTTCAGTCTAATGATGGGATATTCCGCTGGAGGGAGAGCCAGGAGATGCCTTTTGCATGTGATAGTAAGCTTTCCGGATATCAGGATTCCAGTCGCTAAGTTAATTAATTAGTACAGCAAAACGTCACTGCGGCACAGGCGTTTTCTTCTTTCCTTCCTTCTTTCATTATCTCTCTTTTTTTTTTAGAAATAAAAGGAAAGAGCATCCGATGTGAAGGCAGTGTCAGCACCGGTTGGTTGATATCCCGATGAACTAGTACATTTATTGGTTTATGCCAGCGATAGAGCTTACGGACCTGTGGTCTAGGAGATCGTGGTTAATTCGAGTCTAGCTGCTAAGACAAAAATGACGATATCAGAAGCCCGCTCAAAACGAACGGCTGCACTACTTGCCTTGCGCACGGGCACGCCAAAAGTTGCCGATATGAGAGGTATCCGGCATGAAGTACCAGAACATCTAAGCCTAAATTTAGGGGCATTTGACAGGGCAATTACCTCTGATTTGATATCAGTGCGGTACTGGCAAATTTAAATCTAGTAATTTCCACTTCTAACCCCAAACCGTCTCGATTCGGGTTGAATTAAGCAGACTTTATTTGTCAAAATTGAGCTCAAATCAGAAGTAATAGAGCCCCAAAAGCCCGCTACTAGTAGTGATCCCCAACTGTGGATAGATAATTTGCAGTACAAATTTCTACCTCCGGTGCCCGGGTTCACTATTCCGATAGCCTGTACAAGGTGGATGAAAATATCCCCGGGAGTACTCGAGCATGTAAAGTCGCATCCTGCTATTCCGGATCCCGATGAACTAGATACCAACGAACCAGGCAGAATTTTCGCGCCACCAATCCTTCACAGAAACCGCCTTGCCAAATAAGAAAAAAAAGGGGGGGGGGTTGCAGACCCGTATGAGACCCCAGGAAATCCTACCCCCTGTTCCTACAGCATAGAAAATTAGCCTACTGAACCGGATGCTATGTCTACCGTCAGAATAGCTAGACCGAAAGAGGAGAACCGATGGGCCAAACATAAGACAATGGGAATTCAAAAAGGATCTGGAGTGGGGGAAATGGCATTGCGGTCTCACTGCTGAAACAGGATGTGGAAGTGGAGTATATCGCTGCTTCTAAGGTCATAGCATTAATGTGGAGTTACACGGCTGCTACGGGGTTGATTGAGAATGATAAAGATAAAGCATAAGAATGAGCATAATCTATCTTCTTTATTTCCCCTCAAACAACAATAACTCTCCCCCGTTCTAGGTACCCCACTGTCCCGGCTCAAATCAGCAAAAGCTGGCCACCTAGGATAGCGGGATGTGACTGTAAAATTAGTACTGGGCGCTGTTCAGGAAGCGCTGATCTACGGCTGTCGCGCTACTGCTAGCACCAGAGTTATCACAGCGTGATCCCTCGTCGGTGACAGCCACTTTTCCGAAAGCTTGAGCCGAAACTGGCTTCAAGATAGACGAGCTGGTTCTTAATATACCGTATTCCGGCCCGCCATACCCCCAGCGAAACCCAGTGCTCCTAGTCGTCCAGTCGGACGGCCTTCGATTGCCATCCGACTGTGCTAGTCCTCCACCTTAGCGTCGTCCAGGTGCGGCGGATGGCAGTCTGCTGTAGTAGACTAAAATTGGCCAATGCACCAAGTGAAGCACACACTAATTCTAAAAGGCGAGTCCACTCAGCCACTACTGACTGAGCCACATGAGGAAGATCATAATAACGAGGCAAAACATAATGGCAGATTTATGGGTGGCCCGAGTGCCGTCCACCCCGTCCCGAACTGGAAGCACGGGTAAGACCTGATAAGATGTATGTTAGGAAATTGTGAACTTTCGGTTTAACAAAAAGTGATACTGAAAAATACAGAGTGTTGTTGGAATTGAACTGCGGAACTCAAAAATTCCATAGTTGGTATTAAAATGCCCTTGAGCTTGATCGTATAACACTCACCCATGGTACTCGAATACACGTTATGAACGCCTTCCATCATATCATTCAAGTACTCGTGAGTGTAGCCCTAACCACCTCTGCCAATAAAATTTGCCCTAACCCGTTCTTATGGACCCTAATGCAAGCCCGGTAGTGCTCACAAACGTCACGATATTACGAGTACGGTACACGTGTAGAAGATATGTGCCGACATTAATGAGGAAAGCCTAACTCTCCTACCGCGCCCGCGCCACACTGCCGTTCGCGGTTATCCGGATCGTGGTGCCTTGCTGCCGCCGGGGAATACAGAGACATAGCACTCCCTAGCCCTCCCTCGTCAATGCGGACGTGACGAATTCACGCGAGGCGCTGGGACACCAATACCAAAACAGAACCCCCCCCCGGCAATCCCCCCGCTAAGCTTCCGGAAGACCAGCCTTCCGTTCCCGGCTGTGGGGCTGCCGGAGCCGCAGGAAAGGCTTATCAGCCCTACAGTACTGTACTCGAGTACACTTCTGCTGCGCCAATCGCTATTCCGGGAGCGCGTGTAACCGGTGCGCTGCGACCTTGATGGCGTGTCTAACGTCAACCTTTGCTTCCGTATGCATGCATGATTGGAGGACGACTAGAAGCTAAGGCGCCAACTGGGTTAACCTTATCTTAAACAGCACCTTTCTTTTTCTTTTTTTCAGGCTTTTCGTTTCTGCTCGGGATGTATCTTATCCGTGCTCCCCCCCCCCCACCCCCCCTTTCCACCCGCCCCCCTCAACGGATGGGGGAGTGGAGTATCATACCGTACTCGTACAGGAAAGGAGCGTTGGCCCTGTCAGCGGATCTTCGGATGGGAATAAAGTTATGGCATTCCTTTTTCACTCCCAGGGACTACGAATGGCGGGATGCACGTATGGAATTGCTAGAGGCTTATGGCATATGTCATGGATAAGTACGTGGAATACCTACGTATTACTGGACTTGGGATGGCTCACACGCTGGAGGATTGGGGGAGCGAAAACGAAAGCGAGTACGGGACGTATTCGAGTTTTTGTTTGGCTTGGGGCCAGCGGGCTAGGGTTGGGATACCCGTAGTAGGGTTGCTATGTGTGGGTTTCTTGTGGTGCTGAGTTATACACGAGTGCGGGTATGATACCAGTACTGTGGGATGAAACTCATTGGATTAGTCCGATATCTGGATCTTGGATCGCAGCTTGCCTGTACTGCATTTGGAAACTGGGCTAGGCACTCCCGCCTCTAGGTAGCAAGTTAGTTGATTAGTACTTAAGTTGTGCGTCCCCCCCCCCGATGAAGTGGTTGAAAGATTAGAGTTGGATAGTAAACACAAACACTTGGATTCCTTTTCTTACCTTGCTTATTTTTCTATAAAATCTTATTCGGAGCGCACGATAAGAGCTTTCCTTAGGCTTCGATAAAGGGGTTCACTTCTCTTCAGTTTCCCTCTGCTTCTACGTCAAACCACATTTCGATCCTTGGGTGCTTGCGAGCGCGGGAGTATAGCCAGAATGTCGGATAATGACCCGGGAAAGTTCGAATACTACCACTACACCCCATCACTCGTCGGAGCTGTCATCTTCGCCGCGTGCTTCTTCCTCTCCTCGGGATGGCATATAATCCAACTGACAAGAACCAAAACATGGTACTTTATCCCATTGGTAATCGGCGCTCTCAGTATGACCCCTAACCTCCCCCCCCCCCCTCCCTTCCTCCCGACACTACTAACACACTCGTAGTGGAGGCAGTAGGCTACGTCGCCCGCGCGCTCTCTCACAAGGACCGCTATTCCTTGCCACCATACATAACCCAAGCCCTTCTCCTCCTCGTGGCGCCGGCCCTATATGCCGCCTCCATCTACATGATCCTAGGCCGACTAATCGCAACCATCGAGGCCGAGCACCACTCCATGATCCGTGTAAACTGGCTGACCAAGATATTCGTGGCCGGGGACGTGCTCAGTTTCCTGATGCAATCGACCGGAGGAGGAATGATGGCAAAGGACAAGGACTCCGCCAAGATGGGAGAGCACATCGTCCTGGGCGGTCTATTCGTGCAGATCCTCTTCTTTGGTTTCTTCATGCTCGCCACCATCATATTCCACCTGCGGCTTCGGAAGAACCCGACTCAGGCTTCGCAAATCGGCACGGTGTGGAGGACGCTTCTGATGGCGCTATACATCGCCAGCTTGTTTATCATGGTCAGGTCGGCGTTCAGGGTTATTGAGTACATCCAAGGGCGGGATGGGTATCTGATGCAAAGGGAGGTGTGGCTGTACATCTTCGATGCGGTGCTCATGTTTTCCGTCACTGTGCTCTTCAATATTGTGCATCCGAGCATTGCGGTGCCCGGGAGGAAGGGGAAGGGGACTGAAGATGGGTATGCGCTGAGGGGTGGAAATTTGAGTTAGGCTTCGGTGGGGGAGGTCACGAGTGAGAGGATATGGACAACTTTACACAATATTTTTTCCCTCTTTTGCTTTCCACTTTTTGGTTTGTTTGTTTTGTCTTGTTTTCTACTATATTCCTTTTTCTCTTCTTGTTCGCCATTAGCATTTATTTATCCTAAAGAGTAAATCCCTTCTAACTTATCATTCACTTCTTCTTCCCCTTCACCCTCTCGCTCTTCCATTCACTTGCTCATCAACTAGAACCACATCACATACTGTACTGCACTCTCACCCTCCGAATATATCCAATCGCAAAGTCAGACAATTCCATCCTACACCCGTGACCCGCCCCGATCCCCCAAAAGCCATTGTCAACCTCCACCAAAGCATCCACCACCCATTACACCTATACCGCACAAGCACTCTAACACTAGCAGAGCCGCCGAGCAGCAGTACCGGGACGCACAGTTCAGTACAGTACCGTACCGGTACTCGAGTACTATACTCGTAGTCCCGGGAACCACACCTCCAAAGACACATGCACGAATCTCCCCCCCCCTTTTTTTTTTGCTAGAAAATAAAATTTAAACAAAATTCTAGAAGGGCCAAGAAACGCTTGCTATCTCGGGATTACAGGTCACTCTTTAATCTTCGGTTCTTTTTTTTTGGAATTGTTTATATTTTTTCTGTTTCGCTCAGATTGCCGATCACTGGACGTGGCACATCATCCATCATATACTAGATTGCGACCACAGTACCATATAGTGCCCAGTGCGGTGCCGCCTGCAAGTTGTGGTGAGGCTCATTGCGAATGATATTTGTACAGTACGGTAGGTAATATAAGTATTCCGCGCCTCGAAGCCTGGTTTTCCGAGACTTTCACAGGCAAGTGCTCGCCGCACTCCCGCTCGCTCCGTTCGATAAATACAATAGAATAGAATACAGGAAACATTGCACGTGCACCACCATCGCCATGTGAGAAAGAGAAAGAGGAAGAGAAAGAGAAAACCCCCCCTCCGGGAGAGGGAAATCACCACGGTATCATAACCGGGGTAATGTATCTGCTACCACGCAGCGTCGCAAGTATTGTACTGTACTGTACGGTATCGCTGACGCCTCGTGATGAGATCTTGTACGACCGGCTCTCCACACTTACCGTTTTCCCGCAGCGGCATGAGAAAAAAGAAAGGGTGGAACCTATCGTAGCGATCGTGCAGATAATTTGTACAGTAGATTAGTTGGCCGATCTAAACCTATCCCCACGCTCTCCCGTGGGACGCGCACGTGCGTTGTGCTTGTCCTGTACGAGTACCGGTACGGTAGGATGGGCTGCCGGGACCCGTCTCTTCCGCTGCGGGTATCGATTCTGGTAACTACTGTGGAGTCGGTAGTTAATAGTAGTAGCGCTAAAAAGGGGCGGTATTGATGGAGTGGAATGCGTCTCGGAAGGATCAAGAAGGATCCACAACCATCAGGAGAATTCGGAGTTTCCTCTTTTTTTTTTTTTCCCCCCCCCATCCTCCTCTTTTTCGGCATTCTCGGGGAGTTTCCTTCTATCGAATTATGTTCTCTTCTACTGTACTACTTGGCTCTTTTCTCTTCCCCCATGATTACCTTTTTTTTTTTTTGGCCTGCTACGGTGACCTACCGCGGAATCATTAGATACCTGACCCGCACCGCTAGGTATCATATCATATCGTAGTATTTTACCCATACTTGCATTAACTCGCCTCAAGTCTCCGGGAAGGACCTTAGTTCTCCCTTCCTCTGCCACCCCCAGCGACGAGTTTAACCCAAGTCTACGCCAAAAAGGAATTCTCCGGATAAATAAAGAGAGAAAGAGAGAGAGAGAGAAACTCCAGACCTTTTGGTACAGGAAGAGGGAACTCTAGCTCCCCGGTAAATAGCCCGGTTACTCCAGTTCTTATCAAATGGTATGTCACGGGCCCTCACACCACGCAATTGGAAATCTAAAAGGTGGTAACTCACTATTAGGATCTAAAGCTATGGGCACATCTTTAGAATGCCTCGTGAACAGCTCTCTTCTTATTGTACGCTTCATCTCCCCCGACTCTGTATCGGATCTAGGCTCTGTACCAGGCCATTTGCAAGCTCTCTGAGTTTTTAAAGTCTTCGACTTCCTCCTACAAGTATCATACATCCAACCACAGTTTCAAATTTTTTTTAATTTTTTTTACCAAGTCTCTGATTATGTGCCGTGAGGTCCCAAACAGCTCTGACGTTTCCATCTAGATAGAGTGGAGGAAGTTTCCTTATACCAGAGGCAGCAGGGACAGGCGGGGTGTAGGCCTGGTTATTTTGCTGATGGAGGGATACAGCGATGGTAGAGAAATTTCAAGATGCAGACCTTTTGCACTTGACCCCACCCAATACCCTTATAAGCTTATAGCCTCGAACTTCGTAGAAGTAATAACCCGACGGGAAAAGCTTTCCCCCGAGGACCTTTCTCTCTCGAGCTACACCACAGCCCGAGCAGGGTATTGCTAGCACAAGCGGAAGACATTTAGTGGAAGGCATAGCAGCAGTTGTGCTGGTCTTGGTAAAATTCCTCCTGCCATATTTTCCGCAGGACTGATCATTCTAAAAGAATCTTCTAGGTCTTGTACATTTTAGTGTGTGCGGGTACTATTAGCTGCTCGGTTCGTCATCCCACAATTACACTGTTTGCAAAGCACTCCCCTCAGAGACTCTCACCAAACCGGGGCTAACCCACCCTGGGGTGGAGTCAGAGGATCCAATCAACAGATACGGTACTTATTGCCTAGGGCAAGTAGCGATGGGGGTGAAGAAGGGGCTTATTGCAGTTATCATACATTCAGCGCCCTTCCCCCACACGCGCTTCTGCTACAGCACCACGACCCATTAACCAGCGCCGAATAGTTAGAAATAATGTACAAACTTAAACACCATCCACCCATCATATCCCCCCATGGCCTCCACAAGCTCACCCCTCAGAAATCGTTCAACTCCCCATCAACAACCAACCCCCCTACCGCGCTTGTAACTACTAAAACTCCCTCCTCCGAAACCCTAAACACCCCCTCCGCCCTACCCCCCATCTCGCAATGACGCAGGATACTCGTAACGCCCACTACAACACCATCATCCCGCCCACCGGTTGGGTACTCTCCACAGATGTAAAACGCAGCGGAGCCTGCGGTCGCCAATTCTCCGCATTGCTTGCCGGGGGGTACGTTCGGGGGGAAGTACCCTTCGACCAGAATGCGTTTTTCAATAGTCACGATGTCCGAGATTGTTGGGGAGTTCTTGGTTGTTGCGCAGCTGTAGTACCCGAGCTTTAGCGAGTCGGGAAGGGGGAGAGAAGCCGACGCTCCGGGGGCGATGTCAATTCCAATGAGGACGGTGGAGGTGGGGATTGGTGAGACGGGAGGGGTGGACAGAGCGAATGTGGATAAAGCGACCAATGGCGCCAGGACGGGGAACCTCATGATTCCGTGTTTTTTCTATGATAGGAGGTTTGCAAAAGCTGGCTCTCGAATATTGAACGGATCCGAGGGTACTCAAGAGGTTTCACCTTATTCTTGCTCTTTTCTCCTTCCGCTGTGGGCCCGGGTGTACTTCAAACTTGCAGGTGTAAGGCGGAAATCCAGGTTTGTAGGGCAAAGTAAGTAGTGGAGGATTAAATGTTGGTAACCGGTAGAAATATTAGGCGGAGGAGTAATGATCCGAACCCAGGCTTCGCTGAAGAGAAAAGTGAATAGAGGAGAAGGGAGAAGTAGAATGTGACAAGCGGGACACACAGTGTGCAAAAGTTGAGGGTGATAAGCACTGAAGGAAAGGTAAAGAGCAAAGTTAGGAAGGAGAAGGGGAGAAGAAAACATGTTTGATATAAGGAAAGGTTTTCAACCCTAGAGTGCTCTGGTATCATACGTAACGGTCGACGTTTGTCCACATATACCCAACAGCAACAGCGATGCGAGGCACCTACAGTGCCAGATCAACCTCTCTTACAAGTGTACAGTACAGTACAGTCCATGGTCGAGAATAGAAACACGCCTCCACAAGTCTACAATGGTTGATCTCAGTTCAAAGCACTAGCACGACATCAAGATGTCTACCGTGCTAGGGTCCCACCAGCTACCTAGGGCACTCGCGGCAGAAAAGTGCTCTGGGTGTTAGTGTTCTTACATCCCCAAAGCTATTTTGACGATACAGTTTGGCGCCATACCTCATCATCGACCGTGCATTTCACACAAAAAATTGTTTCCCGTAGACTTACAGTGCAACCTCAAATTCTTCAATTACAGCTATTCTCCCGTCAGTGGGACGTTTGCTTATAGCGACGAGAATATCCAAATCTAGGGGAAACAATCCGTATTATATATAAGGCCCTATCAATCTTTAAAGTTCTCGGTTCATATTGCCAAGCTCACACGCCACCGACTTCCATAACGGCAGATCCCTGCCTCAGCCAATGACGGACCCTCGTAAAATCCCGATCCCAGATTTCTCCCCTACCCGAAAGTATAATTTGGCGAGGATCCATGAACCCTAATTGCCCATGCTCGTTTCCTTTATGCCATCTCGTCTTGTGTACTCTTCCGGGCCCCGAGGAAGCACCGTATAACGGTCGACAGACCCAGGAGGACTCACGCTTAGAAACGAAGCCGCAGTTGTGGTATAAAAAAAAAATTTAGCAGTTTAAAATAAGTACTATGCAGCCCGAGCTCCGGTTCACGATGCGGGTTTCGTGGGAACTTCGGAAGGGAAAAGCGCGTGGGCCAATTGGTGGGCAAAAACGGGTGTAAATGATCCGCGCGGAAAAATGGAAAAATCATCGCAGGCTAAATGTGACAGCTAATCGAAGGATAGCGCTTCAACGAGCCCAACACTTACGCCCGGGTGACTAAAGATTCATAGTCAGCAGACAAGCCAGCATGATAATCGGTCTGCATGTCAAGCTAACCACCAGTGCATAGCATCAAACGGGCCCCAAAAATGATTCCGGTGCCTGTAAAACGCCTGCTTTGCCGGTACGCAGTTTTGGCCGTTTTGGCCGTTTTGGCCGTTTTGGCGATCTAGTGATGGTGACCAAAACCGGCCAAAACTGCAAAAACAGCCGCGCGTGAGTGCCCCTATAGTGTTAGGTTGATACTCTACTCGAGTATACAGAACCGTCTTAGTAATACCCAAGCATGGAGGGTGCTAGAAGTGGTGCTCACCATGGCCATCCAGACACTTG